CAACTGCATCATTGCCCATTTTCAATTTGCCAAAACTGCCAGACTTTAAGGATGTGAAGAATTCCTTCCTTGGAGTCACATGCAACGTAGCACCACTATCAATAACCCAGCTCTGGTCATCTGACACTGCATTAACCACATCTGCATCGGTGACAAAGATCAAATCATCAACAAGATCAGCAGTAGAAACACGGTTACCACCTTCATCCTTTTTCTCATTCTTGCCTTTAGCCTTGTTATCTCTTTTCCACTTGAAGCAATTTTTCTTGATGTGTCCTGTATTGTGACAATAATGACACTCAACATTCTTATATCTGGACTTGGACTTGCTTCTGGATTTCTCTCTGCCTCTTTGATCTCGGTTAGCATTCCTCCCCCTATGTTCTGTAACTAACACCTCTGATTGAGATGAAGAACCTTGCATCTTCCTTCTCATCTCCTCATTAAGCATAACTGGTTTAACAGTTTGCATGGATACAATACCATCCGGGGCAGAATTGATAATTGAGACCCTAAATATCTCCCAAGACTCAGGTAAAGTGTTTAGCAACCAAAGAGCAGCTAGTTCATCCTCAAGCTTTATACCAACACCAGATAACTGATCTAAAATACCATGAAATGCATTCAAGTGATCCAACAAAGGAGTAGTTTCTTTATAAGACAAGTTCATCAAGGACTTCAACAAGTACAGCTTGTTATTACCAGATTTGGATGCATACATGGACTCGAGTTTCTCCCAAAGTGACCTGGCATGTGTTTCATTTGCAATGAGACCATAAACATTATCACCAACATATTGTCTAATAAAGCCACAAACTTGTCGGTGATCACGTTTCCATTCCTCATCTGATTTTGATTCTGGCTTCTCGATTGAAAAAACATGCAAATCCATATCTTTCACATACAAGAGGTCTTCCATTTTTCCTTTCCATATATGATAATTTGTGCCATCCAAACTAATCATCCGGCTTGTATTTGTCTCCATCACTCAAACAAGAATATAACACAGCAACACTAGAGTAACTGAACACGAAGAGCTCTGATACCAGAGATTACCCTTAATTCTTCTCTTATGTTGGTGTGGTTTATGATTAAGGGGTGAACGTTCTCATTCTCCTAGTTTTTGTCGTTGTTCGATTATCGTTTATTCGTGTTTATTATTTCTGTGCTACGTGGTCTTAAAAAATGCACCTTTTGGGGAGTTTAGCTCTCATTTTTGGTGCCCAGTGTTTCTGGTGGTTCGTTCGTCCACTATGACCAGAAATAGGGTACAAGAGTGTCTCAAACAAGGGCTGAAATCAGTATAAAGATACTGCAAATATACTGCCACAACAAGGAGCAAACAACTAGAGAATATGCAGAAAAACCAGAAAATACTGCCTCTGTTCAAATTCGAATATCTCAGCCTGCAGACCTCCAAATCCAAAACTGACCGGTGGAAATCAAGTTCAATGTGTCCCGAACCTGCTCCTAAAATTTCAGAACAATCGGACACCGTTTGACCCTCCAAACATCAGTCTGAAAAACGTTGCGCACACAAATCCGAGAAATGAACAGCTTCCTTCTCTCTCTCTCGATTTTTCTGCTCTCTCTCTCGTTTTCTGCTCTCTACCCTAATTCCACCTCTTGTTAACCTCTTATTTCATCAAAGAGTGGGCTTGTGAAGAATTGGGCTTTACTTGGGCCTCCACATAAGAAGTGAGCCCAAAACCCAACACTCTCCCCATTATCTTCATTATATATAGAGTATATATATTCCCAGTACGTACAGGCCTTTCTCTTCTCTAATTCCTTCCTTATTTATACTTCTCTCCATATTTTAGTTTTTGACTTTTTCCTAGTTACACTAGAATTAGAATTATGGCTAAATCAAAATTATACTCCATATTTACTTATTATTTCACTCACTTTTAAATACCTCAGTATATGTTAGACATTAAAAACTTACTCCGTATTATATTCTACTAATAATTTTGTGCAATTGAATACTTTAAATTGCTAAAAGAATAAAAAAACTTTATATTTTGAAGTTTCCAACATCCAATTTTGAAATTTCCAACTTAAGAGAACACGGCTTAAGTATGCTATACTTTGAAGAAACTTTATAAATGGTATTTTATTACCGAGTTTTTTCATGTAGTCTCCAAATATCAAAAGAAATATTTGTACTAATTAGCACTAAAACTTAAGTCATTTTTCTAAATAGCACTTAAATTGTTTTATTTTCTAAATAGCACTTAATAATGTATATAATGTTTATTAATGTCCAGTGGTGACGAATATTTGCTTGAATAATGACTAAGGTATAATGACTAAAAGTGCTACATTGGGAGGAAAAACACATGTAGTGCTATTTAGAAAAAGTCATTATGTTTTAGTTCTATTTAAGTAAACTCCTCATATTAAAAATTATATTTGTGGTTCTTTTATTCTTTATACTAGAATTCAAAACCATTTCATATTGTCTCTTAATCTCCACTTTATTTGGACTTTTAAATCCACTAATCATCTAATTAATTAAAAATGATTGCAGTGGGCTGGCTTGAAGCTAATGGATTTAGCAACCAAATCAAACAAGATGATATAGTCAATCTGTGAGAGGTTGCCCAAAATATTATCACCCCCTTCAAACGGCAGGCAAACAACACCACCATCATCAAACACAAGATAGCCAAGCATTGCTTTGAGCGAAAACGGAACCACGGCGCCCCCGGCGAAATGCGCGGCCACCGCCGGAAACACTTGCGTGGTTAGGTCGGACGCCTTGTAGCAGAGCTTATCGGTTCCGCTCGGGTCGACCACGGGGGCGCCCTTCACCACACTTTTCAACTCCGTTATCAGCGCGTTGTACAATTCTTCTGGGAGACGGGTCAGAGTCGTGCCCTAGTCGACCAACATGCTCGAGACCGGCCCCTCGAGAGGCTTGCTCAACAATGTTTCCCCCCCGACACTAAGGTTTTCCAACGTGATCAAGTACCCGAATTTGGAGTCGACGAGTGGCGTTGAGACGACTCCGTTCGGGTCCGCGATCACCGCATCGGGCCCGAACCCGATGCGGGTGGAGACATTGGGCTCGTAATACCACGGGAGGCAATACGCGAACCTCTCGACATTGGCTTGTTTGATGAAGGAACTCGGGCCATTTCCGAGGCCGAAAATCCCGGTGATCGAGCGCGAATATAGTCCGGAGTTATTGACTCCGCACCCGAACACGAACCTCAGGAAGGACGCGCCCCCCATTGCAAGAGTATCGTAAGCTAAGTCGCCGTTGGTGTACGACGCGTCCCCGTAGAGCAAGTCATAGCGGCATAGGCCGGAGGACGCGTCGCACGAGTACGCGCCGCCCCCGCGGCATATCGGGGCGTCGCACGGCAACCTCCCGTACGATGAGCTCTTCGACGCGTCGAACAACGGCGCGTCCTGCGGGAAGCAGACGCCTCGGCACGGCTCGCACTGCGTCCACGTCAGGTCGCTGCCGGTGTCCATCACGGCGAACCGCTCCACGGGGGGCGTGCCGATGGAGAACTTGATCATGTAGTCCGAGGCGTCGTATTCGACGCCGGTAGCAAACTTGGCTGATGAAGGCTTTGAAGACTTGTAGAAAGGTGAGTTTGGGGAATGGCGGGGAATGATATGAACTGTGAAACTGTGGCTTTGAGCACAAGGGAAAGTGAAAACACCAAATAGCACTTTAATGGTTTCTAAAGCCACAATGTCTTTAAGTTTATGTACAGCTCTATGGTGTTAAAAAAAACCCATTTAAATAGAAAAAAGACATAGACATTCAGTTTGGTTGATTGAAGATATATACTCAAACAATTATACCCGGTTTGAATGCAAGAATTACTTTAGCATTACGGTAATTAAGGCACCATTACCATTTATGTGCCATTGTTACCTTAGCATTCTTCAATTAATATTCCAATGATTGAACTATTTAACGCTCCATTAGAATACTCTCCATTAAATTTATATTCTCCACTAAAATACTCTCCATTAAGCAGCAGGTAATTCTAATTCTTGCCATGTAAAAGTACTCTCTTTCTCTTTTCTAGTACATTAGTACATTTCTCCCTACGATTTTTTATCACAAAAAAAATACTCATGGTGTTTCGATAGAAGTATAATGTCTCATAATTTTGTCAATAGTTTTCTTTTTAAATGCAGTTTTAAATTATAACCTTGTTGTGTTTCATAATTTTAAATGGAGAACTAAATTTTATAAAATATATCTATGTAAAAATATCGATATTAATTGTCAAAGTATTATATCGGAGATCATGAAATGTCAAATGAGAATTAGAAGATTAAAATCCAGAAAGAAGTAGTACTCATCCCGAGGGTATACAATCTTTTAATTTTTTCATAAATAGTAGTTTTTAAAATATTTTTTTACATTCTTTTCTTTTTATTTTATTCTCCTAACCTAAGTTATCATATATCTTATTATTATTATTATTATTTGGAGAAAGACTAGTGCTTCCATAAGCCTAAAGTTCACATTTCAAATGTAGATTTCTTCACACTTTTTATGAACCGACATGAGAATGTTGTATGTTTTTTCAAAAAGCCCAATTCATTCATGGTATTTGTATATTAAAATCCATTAAATATGTCTAAATCTTTGAACATCAGAAGAAATTGCTTTGGAAAGAAAATGTAAAGGAAGGCCAAAACGGAGATAAAGTTTGAAAAGAGTCTCCCCTTTCTATGTTGTAATAAAAGTTTTGTTTACTACTAAAGCCCTGTTCTTTTGGTTGCAAAAATTAATTCTAATGTTTTTCAAAAGTTTCTAGTTTCTTCTCATTTCTTTCGATTTCTTTCAGCATCTTTCAATTTTTCCCAACAATGACTTAAACAAGGTATTTATATTTGATGAATATGCAATAACATTATATATCTAAATTTTTAATATATCACCTCAAATACAAACAATGATGAATTCTTTTTTATCATAAATTAGAATTTTCATACATACATAGTATTTATTTAGGTGATCATTTAATTGAGTAACTTTTTAAGATTTAAATTCTTCTAACATTTTTCAAATCCTAGTTTCTTCAAATAAAATTCTAAACTGAAACTCTAACCCAAAAGAACAAGAACTAAGTTATAATATAAGTTAGTATTTATAAATTGTTGATATTAGTTTTTTATATTTATTACTTTTATACATGCAATACGTGTTATTTGTTTATAAGTTATATTATAAGTTCTTATGTTTATCCATGTTAAAGTGTTTCAACTTTCAAGTTCTTATTATAAGTGTAATAGTTAATTTTTATTTTGTGACAATGTATGTACATGCTTAATTGATTTCAAAAAGTACAAACTTTCTCCATGAGAACTATTTTTTTTTGCCCTAGCTATATTTTTTATTTAATTATATCTTGGAGATAAGCTAAAGATTATTTGTAAATTTTAATTTTTTTTTTGGACCGCACAAGTCTTCAACAATAGTAAATAAAAAATAAAGACAATAACAACCTAGAGAGAATAAAAAATAAATACATAACCATATAACAATTTGTTGCTTACATAAGAAGATCCATGTTTCTTATATTGACCAAAACACAAGTTAGCAAAACAAGGAAAATCAGTTTGGCAATGGTTGTTTTGTATCTGTGATATCTGTAAAGGCATTTGGTCAGTGGGGTACAACTTAAGGTATCCCAAAGTTTTATCTTATTACTAATCCATTTCCACGGTACCCAAATTGTACACCATTTTGTACATCAAAGACAAACACAAATATATATATATATGTTTGTGCAGGTCAAAAGACATGCGTCTATGTCTGTTTTTGGTCTGCAAAGTGGTGCACAACTTGGATACCCAAGCTTTATTATATTGACTGTTTCTATCCAACGTACCACTCAACATGTAGTTCACATTTCAAGCATTGGTTCTTGCATCAAAATATGATGTTTTTGCGTGTGAAAAAAAAACATTCATTTTCCCTAAAATGGAAACTAGACGACTAAATACACAATCGTCAAAACAAATGAGATACAAACCTTTAATCTCCGAAAACTGCGGCGCGCTGATATCGTGCACTTCTAGAGGGGGAAAACCTACGCCATGTATAATTACAATATATACACAAATTTAGAATGATACTGGTTGGTGAAGAGGGGAAAATTCTACGTATCAAATTTTAATGACTCTGGTGTTATAAGAGCCACAATGTCCACATTTGTGATATAACCAGTGGAAGCTTGCTGTGCCTTTCCTTTCGCAGTCATTGCAAAGGATATCCTGCATTTGAAAGCCAAATTGGATGACATAATGGCACCAAGATTTTTAAGTTTTTGTACTCCCACTTGACCCAATTATTAAAATGAAATTTTGTTTGAGGTTTATGTAGAAGAGCTGAACCGTAGATATGCTTAATTAAAAATATTTAGTCGTTTATATTTTTTCTTCCAAACAAATTTGATCACAATTTTTTTGTACTTCATAAAAAAGCGAGTCAAGTCAAACCACGAACAAAATCGTGGGACGGAGGGATTATAATACAACAGTAGCAGCACCACATACCCAATTAAATCCCTATTTTGTTGGGGGTCGGGGGCGTCAAGACATACTCAATTTTTAAAAAAGACTATTTCAAATAGACCCCAAGGAGTCAAGGACTAGTTGCATAAACAACTCAAAACTTCGTAGAATGTAAGAAGCAAACGAAGTTTAAAGACGTTCAATGCGGCATTTTGATTTACTCCATTATTTACTAGAAACTAAAGGAATGCCAATAATGACTTTTTTAGCTCTATTTAGTAGAACACAAACCTGCAGGCGATTCCTGTATTCTTCTGGAAGGACTTCATTGGCCAACAGAGCATCAATCATGCCAAAATATATCTGTGATGCAGAAAATGATGTTAGATGATTCGTAAAATAGTGATAACTAAACTACTCTGGTAAACAATAAGCCATTATGCATGATGTAAACCCTTATTCCCATGCCCTTGGGAGTACTGGAAGAGGTTGTAAATTGAAAGTTGTAACTCATGAAGGCTATGTGGGTTAGCAACTTAGCACGGAGACTTTTGCGGACAAGGGTTCATTCTCGGTAGGGTTCAAAGCCTCACCTCAAGCAAGAGAGGACTCCCCCCCCCACCCGCCCCACATTTTCCTCTTGACAAAATACATATGAGGCGAAGTTTCCATGAGAATGAGACTTCCCAAGAGAAGGTGAACCTAGCAACTTTCGTTCACCACAGTGCACTTTTATGTTTTGAGTAGAGGAAGAAAAAGTATTGTTTATTTACAAAAGCCACCTCGTTTTCTTTTCATTTTCCCCAAATTATCGGCTATTTTAGAGCTTTTACATCTTTGATCCAAAGACGTTTCTTTCATTTGATAAAAATGTAAGGACACCATTGGGGTTTGGGGGTCAAGATGTACGCAACCTTGATGCAGTGCTGCATTTGCTGCCCAAAACCTCAGTAGAAGTAAGAGGCAAGGGAAGTTCACACATCTGACAGAACTTGAAGTGCATCACCAATTTTTTGTGACATATAACTTTTGCGGCCAATTTAAAGAGAAGTATAGTATAAAACGATCTTGGAAGCACTAGGGTTTCTCTTACCGTCATATCACCCATTGATTTGCTGCATATTGGACAAATGTAGTTACTGGATGCATATGCCTAGAAACAAAACATCAATATTTTCATCTCACTTCATGACCCATTGTTGTAGTGCAAAAAAAAAAAAAACAACCTAAAATAGAAAATGAACATATATGCAAATAATTTGGAACCTGAAAGCAAGCCGAATGCATGTAATGACCGCAAGGTAGAGGTCTAACTGTTGCACTGGAAGTAAACAAAAATTCACAGCAGATTGGACAATTTGTTTCTAAAGCTTTCTCCAAACATTTGTGCTCAACCAAACTTATCCCCATGCAACAGTTGCATTTCATGCAATGGTAGAAGTCAATTCCAAGACCTTTCCCAAGACGGCATAAGTTGCAAGATGGGCAGTGATAAACAGACCTACAGCAATAACAACGACGAACACTGTAAGAAAAAATGATACCACAAACAGGGTTTCATTTACTCGGAAATCATTAAAAGTAAAGTGACTTGTATTAGTAAAGCTATTGAAACTCATTCTATGGTATGAGATAAATTACCTGCTTTATCACAATGCACCTACCACACTTATTAGCATCAATAAAAAAACCACTACTAAAAAGGAGCAACTTTTAATCTATAAACAACTCAATCAAGGTACAAATTATTACAGTTAGGAATGGTCACTAGCTACCAGCACTACAGTTAAGAATGGCCACTTTGTTTATAATCCTAAACCTTGTTTCCAAAATTATTTTGATTAATTGACTAAAAATGTATCCGCCTTGAGATTTACAAAAAAAAAATTAAAACTTTTAAAACCAGACTCTTTTAAAAATAAATAAAAAAATAAGCTCTTTTTTTGTGTGTGTATGGGAGGGGGGTGGAGTATAAGATTGACAGGAATTCAAGCAGCATGAATTTCATGAAGACTCCAACCATCCAAAATTCCAACACAAGTCATTCAACTACCTCTCATCATCAAAGAACTTGCAAATATTGCAATAGTATTTTGCCATAGAAAATCCATTGCATGATGGTGTCATGCAAATCGGTCCAATTGGTTGAATCTTCAAGCACTGCATGCACATCATCTCTAATGTCGCTTTCCTGCACAGTATAAAAAGAACATCAAACTTGATGCACCACCACATGGAAATCTGCATATGTATTTCTACTTACCTTTCCATTGAGTGATCACTCACTTCATCGTGGCAAAATCTGCATGCAAACAGTTTGCCACAGCAAGCTGCACGAAGTTTGCAGTTTCTCTTGTAATGTTCACATCCAAAAACTTTTTTGTCTGGATCTCGAAATGATGGTGAGCATACAGCCAAGTCTTCAGAATGAGAAATCTCATCCATTGATGCATGTGATTTTTGTTGAGAGGCTATCCAACGGCTGAAAATACAATTGAAAGCCATCAATTTTTTGGGGAAGGGGGGTGTGGGGGGTGGGGGGAGGTGTGCAAAACTTTTGATAAACTCGGAATTGAAATTCACCTAGTCATAAGATTTTGAATCAAGTATGCTTTTCTCCTTGGATCAAGAGTTGAGTCCATGTGAACCTTTCTAATTTCTGACTCAATTTCAGTTTGGTTCATCCGAAAAATATCTTTCCAGCCTGGTTTAAACATCAGATCATTCTGGTCCAGTCCTTCATGAGAGTCTACACCTAAAATTTTAAAATAGTTGAAATGTAATGTGTAACTTTTGAATGCATTGCTCTTGAACTGCAGCTATATTTTTTCTGATAATACATGATATCACATAACAAACCTTTACTGATACTGCTATTTTTTGCAGTATCAGGTGCAGTGGATACTTCAGGCGTTCTCCTCAAACACTCATTAAGCCATTCACTAAACATAGTGTTCTTTGTTGCCTGCTTTAATGTGTCCATCATTTTATTCTGCTCATCTTGGGTTAGAGCAGAAGTTACCCAAGGAAGCATAGACTGAAGGACTTCGGCCCCAGTAGTTCCAATAATACAGCCAACAATGCGGTTTTGTTCTTCAACAGAGAAGTGCTTGCCAAAAAGTGGCCATAGTTCAAGTTCTTCCCTAAATATGTGCTGATCTAGGCTTACCCTTAGTGATTTGCACATCCCTTGAACCCTTGTGGCAAGTTCCTGATATTTCCCAGCAGAAGACTTGTTATTACTACACTCGGATTCTTCAACTGCATAGCATTCCTTGTGAAGTGCCGAAAGATCAGAAATGGCACATGATATGTCTTCAAACAATTTTTCTTCCTGTTTATGGTCTAATGTGTACGAATGACTAACATTGTGAAGGTCCTCTTTAGACTCAAGAGCTGGGAAAACTATTTCATCCTCAGCATTGCTGTGGGCCTTATATAACCCAGAAAGCAGTCGGAACCTACCAATGAACTGACGAAGAAAGGTCTCGTCACAATTGCTAAGCTTACTTGATTCCACGTCTAGATATTCCAAATCTTTCCTTATTGCTATGTGAAATTTGAATATAGTATCAATCGGATGGACTTTAATACCAATATCAGAAGACCTCTTATCCGTCTCCCAAAAAAAGAGGCTAGAATCTAGAGAAGGAGCTGGACTAGAGGACAATGATCGGAAAGATTTTGGTGTGGATATAGTACTTAGTCCCAAACTGTTCCCGCTAACTACCAATCCCGGGACACAACATGACTGATCATTGCAAGAGGATTTACAAACAGTTGAGCCTTTAGACGAGTCAGATGGATCGCCGTTTATGCAAAGGACTGGAAGGTTTTTTTTCAATGGCCTCCTAGAATAATCATCTGTATGCATAGAGAGTGAGCATGGACAGGATCCTTGGATAGAATTGACTTTCTGGTCAGAGAATGTTTTAACAGGGCAGCGACCAGTGAAATTAGAAGACAAACATACACCATGGTTACGACCTTTACATGCCCAACCAGAGTAAAGTGTTACAAGAGCAGCATCAGATGCAGGAGCTGTATGGTAAAATTCATAAAAGGACTTAAAATTATGTAAATGGAACCCGCCAATAGATAGCCTATAGTGAACTAAAGTAATGCAAGATACCCGCTAACTGCATATTATGTAGTAAGTTCTGTGCTTCATCTTCATTCAATGAGCCAACAAGCCATGGCAATACACGCTCAGTCAACTTCAGTGGCATCAGACATATGCTCTCGTACAATATTTCTCTCTGTTTTTTCTTGGAAAAATGTTTCCTGGCAAATGGCAGAACCTGGAGATTAAAAAGAACAAAATAAAGATGGCACACAGTGATATTTGTCACATAGCTACAAAAGGAAATAGAAAGTCAGGGTCAAAAACAATTACTTGGAATATATAGACATAATAATATTATTAAGATAACCACTCCTAAAAAGTACTCTGGTCTAGTTTTACAGTTCGCGCAAAAGCTGTTTGGAATATATAGACATAATAATATTACAAAGATAACCACTCATAAAAAGTACTTTGGTCTAGTTTTACAGTTCGCACAAAAGCTTTTTAGCCTGTATGTGGCATTTTAAAAGGAGATTGCATCCGGTCTCTCATAGCCCAATAAAAACCATGTTATCAAAGCATCATATAGACATATACTCCCTTCGTTCCATAAAAAGGTTCCAGTTTTGATTTAGGATGTTTGACCGAAGTTATTTTCAATTCAATCTATGTGGAAATTGGTGTAAAATTAAAATATAAAAATTACATCTTTACAAACAACATTAAATTCTATAAAACAAGAGGGGACATGACTATTTATTTTGTCAATTGATCAATGAAAATATGTGATAAAAGAAAATATAGTTTGACACTGTGAAGAGTAATTTAGAGCCTTTTGTGGGGCAGAGGGAGTTTTAATTAACTTAATAAAGACTACTTGATGGCTAACTATAGTACTATACAAAAAATTCAAGCACACCTGAACTTCTTCATTGTGGAAATGCTTTTTAATTGTTTCAATAATTAAATCAGCTTGGAGGCACAATTTAGAGAAAAACTCGGAAGCTGAAACGGAATTGACGCCTGTACTTTGAATGTTTTCAACCATCAAACGAAGCTCATTGAATTGACTTTTTTCTTCCACATGCTCCTGAGAGAAGGAAAATCCCCCATCTACAGCCGGGAATATGACCTTGTCTTCAGCAACACTGCAGCATGGCTGCAAAATTCAGGTCAATCTGAACATAGAATACAGACCATTGACCCCAACATGTCCATTCTCCCAAAAGAGTTGTCTGATTGTTTTGGTTAACTTTTTTATTCCAAAAACAAAGTAAATGTCACTGCACCAATGAAGCATTACCTGTGAAATATGCATACATCAGCTATGAACTGGAGTCTCTCATAGAAGGGCCGAAGATTAGAAAAGTCTCCAGACAGCTCAACCTTTCTAGCCTCCAAAGCAAGTGCATCTAATTCTCTTTTTATAGTATTGTGCCAATGCAATATCTCATTTATTGGATGCCCAAAATCAGTATCGCGAGCATCACAAATCGGGACAAAATGTTTTCTTTTCCCAGTCTTCACAGATCGACAAGCAAATTGCACTTGTTCAGCAACATGAACTTTTGCAGCTGGCTGAAGCTCGATAGAACAACCGTTCCGAGCATCATCATCATGACATTCAATCATATTGACACACTTCCTACCTTCAATCCAGGTGAAAATCACCTTCAGTAAAAAAAGGTCAGACAACAAGCCAACAAGATCCACTTAGAAAATCAAAGCATCATATTTGGAACAAACACAATTCAGAATGTACACAAACCAAAAAAAAAATGGAAAACACACCTGCTGGAGAAGTTTTTCATTCGGAATAACCTTAGCCAAACACTTCTGCATATTCTGAAATTCATCGCTAGAAATAGATGATGAAAGCCAAGGAAGAAATTTTCTCATCATCTTTACAGGAATGCTGCATAGAAACTGCCAAACAAGTGATGCTTGCTCTTGAAATGAGAAGTTTTCAATGAGCAAAGGAAAGACCTGCCGATGATAGAAAATTAATGTGCATAAACTCTCATGCATATCATTATAAATTTGCACGCCTTCCAAAATAGCTGGTGTTGGTGTAGAGCGCAGACAAGTTAACTACAATTCCAAAGTGTATGTCAACTGTAAAGTACTTTCTCGAAAATAAAAATAACATACCTGTTCTTCCTCTTTCGACATATGCTGACAAATAGAAGTCCGCAATGCACCTGTGCATGATGCTAATTCACGTGGAAAACTTTCATGACTTTTCTTGTGAGAATTTAGAAGCTCAAATAAGTTATCAAAAAGATCACTTTCACCCTTGTGCTCTAAAGAGTATGTATGTGCTATATTCTTTACACGTATATCAAGAGCAGGAAAAATGACCTGCCAATTTACAGAAGCTATCATTTCAAAATGAGCAGTAATTAATACAGAGTAGTAAGAATAATGAACACAAAATATGAAGTTTTCAACAAATCCCAATTTGAAATTTCTTTTTGATACCAACTGTCTCTTAAAGAAGCACTGTTAGCCCAATGCCTATGTTAACGGGAGATCACTGTACTTTCGGTATTCATACTCTACACTATAAGAGTATTTCATTTCATTCAATGTTCATTAAAAAAATTATACTACAACCCAAGAAAGCTTACATGGACGTCAAATATAGACAGAACTTTGTTCAACATAATTTTAGTAATGGAATTTTGCCTCAAAACTTCAAGCGTGTATCGTAAGAGATGAACAAAGACAGTTCAATAACGAGTGCACAATCAATAAATTAGAGAGTAAACTTGACTTTGTAATGTCCTTCAGCAGACAAAGTTGTGCTCTGTGGATACCCTCCAATTTGTAATACCCTCTACATAAAACCCAGAAAACCAAAGTGGGGCCATTTCTAACAAAATCGGCATAGCTGATGGTGTAATAATTCATTTCAATGCCACAAGACAGTAGCATGGTACATTATTTAAAAAAACGAAAAATCACAAGGGATGAAAAAAATGGGAGAAACGAAAGTGTCTAATAAAGCATAATAGTGATGTTAATACAGAAAAGGAAATAAAACAGTGATTCAATAAATCTGGAAAACGAACCTCATCCTCAGCATCTGAGTGATGCCTATAAACTGATCTCAGGAACCGATATCTCTCCAGCAAAGGCTGTATGTCAGATAACTGTCCGGTGGCGTAGGCCAAGGCAGAGCGGTGAAGCGAGTCGAGCTCCAGGCGAATCGCCTTGTGGAAGAACAAAAAGAAGAGAATCGGAGAATCCTCGTCCATGTTACCCAGCTCTCCTTTCGGCGAAGACGAATCCAACGCGTTCACAGCCGCTCCTCCTCCGCACATAACCGCCACACCTCCTCCTCCCTCTCTCCCCTGCGCCGCCATTTCCGGCTATCTCCTAACCCTAGCCTCCTCGCGATATTTCTATCTCCCGCTTCCTCTGCTCGATCTTCTCTTCCTCCTTTCAAGACGCCTATATGTATATATCTATACACAACTCCGCATCCAGTGAAACATTGTCTTCTTCCACTTCCTACCTACCTCCACCATAATTCACTTCTTCAACAAATCCATATCTTCCTTCCTGCAAATCTGCATTGCAAAACACACAATTCTCCGTCAGATTCCTTCAAATTTGTTCTGAATCCATTCCGAAATTCATAGAAATCTCTGGGTAAGCTTATGAAATAGTTGCAGACGTAATCGTGATTGTGGACGGAAGGACGAAGAGGTGAGGATCAACGGGGGAGGCGGAGGTATAGTGCGTGGGTGGGGGCACTGTAGTAATGACGTGGAAGACCACGTGTCGGAGAGCCAGACACGTAGGGAGATTGGAGATAGAAGAGATGCCAGGTGGCGAAAATAGAGTAGGTGAAATGGGATCGAAATGCGATGTGGTTAAACCGTTAAAGAAGGGAAAAAATGAATGGCCGCCGCGACAAAGGCGTGTTTGGGAGATGCCATCTTTGACTAGTGAATTTAGCAAAGAAAAAAAAGTTGGTAATGTGAGGGTATTTCACATTAAACAATAGATTTAGCATTTTAAAAAGAGGGGTTCTCATGACTTAATAATCAATGTTTTGAAAACTAGGACTAAAGAGTGAGTCAAGAACTAATCAATTGAACGGGTCAATTTGGGGGTCAACGACCCTATCAAATATATGTAAATAAATACATTTTAATTTGTATTTTTTACTTCTACATCTAGATTTTAGTTTCATTGTGCATATATTATTTTACACTTTTTATTTTTTTATTCTATTATTTTCATTATTATTACGGAGTATAAGTTAAAAGTGAATGTCTAACAAGCACTCATTTTTCAAAAAAGTAAAGACTACATTATCTGTTTTTATATACTATTGATATTTTAAAACTTATATATAGTTGATTAAAATTTTTGAAAGAATAAAAAGTGCAATATATTAAATTATAATCAATATTTTAAAGATGAAAATAATTCTTTAAATATAGGTTTTATACTTATTTAGATAAAATAATAAATAATACTAGTTTTTAACATTGAACTATTTTAAAATTTCATAAAATAAATACGGAGTAAATTATGATAAACATATCGCGTATTCTCTATTTTTAATAATTTGGAGTATTTTAGGTTATTATCTAAATATTCTAAGGAAGTGATATATACTTGATTGCATGGCTATGAAACAAGTCTCTGGTTCGGCGGTTCTCTCGATTTTGAACGGGACTAATCAATAACAGGTTTTAGAATTTAACCGGACCAGACTCATGACTGGATCACGGTTCAACCGGTTGGACTGATTGGTCCGATCCGGTTTTAATAACATTGATTGGAACATATCAGCACCTTTACAATGTCTCGTTCGTAAAATTGACGGTCAAAGTCAAAATTAACTTGGGGTGGAATTGAAGGGGGTGGAGGGTGCGTGTTCGAATCGGGCCAATGCAGGGGGATTTACCGGGGGAGTTAGAAAGATAGAAACCGTCAATTTTACAAATGGGACATCGCATAGGCCCCGGGTCATCAAATGACATGGAATTCCAATGTCATAAAAATTGGAAACCCCTCCATTTTAAAAAACCAATATCAAATAACAATGTTTTGGATTAGTATTTTTATATTTACTCTATATTATTAAAACATTATTTATAATAGTAGAACGTTGATTGGATTTAATATTTTCAACTAGTAGTAATGATATGAATAACTTTTTAACGGTGGGCATTAATATTGAAATCGTATAAATTGAAGAATGAATATTTAATGTTAAGGGACACTTATGCATGCAAATATTTAAACAATTAAAAGAATGAATTATTTGGAGACACATGAAAGTCAGTTTGCATCTTAAAAGAATGAATAAACGTTTTAAATCTTCTTGACAATTCATGATCAAAGAATATACAAAATTTACAAATATGTCTTTTGTGGATTTTAATTTTAAATTCCTCACCTGCTACTTTAAATATCTAATCCAATCCATTTGACGTGGGCTTTATATCATTGACTTCAATTGCTTGAGATACAATACTAATTAAAATTCTCTATTCCTAATTAAAATTCTCGATTTGATTTTCACAAGGACTAAAAAGAAAAAGTAAAATAATTTTTTCGTTATACACAAAGAGAATTAACATAGGCCACCCATTTTATTTGTTAAAAGGAATTAAAAGTTTATTTTGGGACTTCCGAAAAAAGAAGTGAAAATTTTATTTAGGGATGGAGGGATGGCTATTATGAAATGAATTGGATACATTAATTCTACATTATACACCCATCAAGTATTTTCGTGAAAAAAAAAAGTGCAAATAAAACAAGTGTCACCTGGTGCATTTTGTCTGTGTTTTCATAATTTCAGTAAACTAAGCTACAAATGTCACCACAGAAAAGAAAAAAAAGATATGAAATAAATAAAACAACATATAAAAGAAAAGCTATAAACAGTTTCCCATTGTGAAGCTTGCGCGAATATCATAATGTACCTTTCTGCGCGCGACGAAAAGCGACTGTATTACAACAACTCGAGTACTTTGGTCACGAGGCCAAGGGCAATGGTTCTTCCTGATGCTCGAAGAGAGACGTGCCCGAGAGCTTTACATTTGGCGTACTCGTCCACGCAAACCATCCCTTGCAAAGCCACCTATATATAGTTACATAAAGAGAGACAAAAATGTTAGCTTTTTCCATTTAATTAAGGACCCGTTTGGTGAGTTATAGAGGGTTGATATGGTATGGGTTCTGGAATCTGGAAGAAATGATATGAGTTTCAAAATCTAGAAGGATCTGAAATAATGGTAGTTAGTGATAGACGGGATTGCCAACGATTGAGAGATATCAAAACACTCTCAAATGTGAAGGTTGTGATATCAAGAGATATCAAGTCTGAACCAAATTTAGGCTTCACAAATACCCAAAAAAGAGTTGTGATATATGGAGATAGGGCTGGGTTCAGTGGCCACTGGATTTCAGTGGCCACGGAAGTCACTGAACCCCTACGATGCTCTGTTTGTAAAATTGATGATTCCTACCCATTCTACCCCTCCCCAATAAACCCCCCTGCCTAGTTCTGACCCCAACTCATCCCATACCTACGTCAATTGCACCCCGCAAGTATAATTGACTCTAAAGTCTAAAGTTTTGACATCAAAGTCAACTAAAATTGCGGGGTGCAATTGACGTAGGTGGGGGATTAGTTGGGGTCGGAATGGGCATGAGAGTTTCCTGGGGAGTTAGGAGGGGTAGGAATCATCAATTTTACAAACGGAGCATCGAAGGTGTCTGAATCGGGACAGTGGCTTCCGTGGCCACTGAAACTCAATGGCCACGGAATCGGGCCGATGGAGATATTAGATTTTCATATCTCCTGCCCTCACCAAACGAGTCTTAAGACAGTCCGCCCTCTAGTTTTGAAGGGAACTTCCAGAGGAGATCAGACCTCAATAATGGCATTTTGCTTTGCTGATAGACACCGGGGAGACTTCTTCAACTCCTTCCCAGTCTTCGGATCAAGCAATGACAGCAACTTCAAAACCGTTGCAGCCTCCTTTGCATGGTGCACATGAAATTCTACCTTAATTTTTTGAAACATAGAGACAAATCCAATGTTAGCCTCCTTTGCATGGTGCACATGAAATTCTACCTTAAATATAACATTTTTTTAGGACAGATCAAGTAAAAAAAACTGATAGATCTACACACCATTTGGTAAAGGAAACTTTGGATGAAATGGTCATGTGGGATTGAAATTGCTGACATTGTAGCTGAAATGACTACATAATCCCGTAGTAACTTATACACAATTGTTAAATTATTACCAACTAATCCAGCCAATATAGTCAATTTTTTTTTTTTGGAGGAAATATAGTCAAATAAGTTAGTACAAGAACAACCTACATGTATAGTCCCACAAGTAAGGTCAGGGAAATATAGTCAAATATTTTTTTCTTTTTTTGAGGAAATATAGTCAAATAAGTTAGTACAACAACAACCCACATGTATAGTCCCACAAGTAAGGTCAGGGGAGTTGGGTGAGTATATGCAGAGCTTACCCCTAGTCCCATACATTAGGTAAAAAACAATCTAGCTAATATGCCAAAATAACAGGGTAAAAAAGAACCAGCTAAATACAATGTGTTCCTAGCACTATCTTACCTGAGAACCAATGACAAGTGGAGTCGAGACATCTAGAGTAAGAACCTTCAATTGCAAATGGTTTGTCACTGGGACTGGATAGTCCTGGTGACATAGCACGCCCCCAGCTTGCACTTGGTTTCCATCAATACCGTTTAGATTAACAGTCACATTATCTCCAGCCTTTGCACTGTGACAAACTTCCAAGTCCCGCTCCAACGTGCGCACTGTGGCAAGTACTCTAGACGGCATAATCAGAACCTGGGTGAAACAAAGTGCACAGTTATGATTATGTGTCTGTATAGGTGCTTCATGTAAATTTTCCATAAACCAGGGTGCAGTTAATGAATTTTGAACAGAAACATTTAATATTTGCAGTTAATGGTGTTAAATGATACCCATCCATCCTGAATAGATTCCCATATTCAATTTTTGGTATGTCCCAAAATGTTGTCCACTTTTCTTAATTACATACCTCTAACCTTTTACTTTTTACAATGCACCCCTTCTAACATTTATAAATGATTCGACTATTCAACTCTTCTACTCCCTCCATCTAACTAAATTAAGGAGAAGTATAAGTGGCACAGAAGATAAGAAAATGTGGAAATGTGTGATCAATATTAAATATGTAAGTACAGCAAATTTTTTAAACAAGTAAATATGACCAGATATGGTCCCAGAAAAACATTTTGGGACGAATCAAAGTGTAAGAAAAGAGAGACAATCATGGGACAGAAGGAGTGAGTGACTTTCAACTATTTAAATTTTAAGGGAAGGGATTCTAAGGGGAAAATGTAAACATTCTATAAGTTGTATTTGTTTCCGAACTACCATACCAAATCCAAACCTCCCAACTTTTTTGGGACTGAAGAATTATCTGATAAATGGTTGTGGTGTTGTACACCAACACACCAAGCAACTGACAACCCCGACTAGATTTCAAGGGATGACAACATTGTAGTGAATATTATGGCCTAGCCCCAATTAGTCCTTGTCAAGATTGACCGCTTATATGTGAATGAGTGTGTTCGGATTGAGTGAGAGGAAGGTAGGTAAAGAATAGAGAGAGTGGATTAGAAAAGAGGAAAGAAAATGACCATACCACATTTAGACTATATATCCTCTTTTAGACCATGAAAGAAAGTGAAGCAGGACAATGGTTTCAAAGAAATAGAGAGAAAATCGTATAGTTTTCAAAAAAATAATAATAATTAAAGAAGGTTGTGTAGTTTATTTTTAAATTCATGTTTTTTTTGGAGGGGGGGGGTTCCTTCTCCTTTCATTTTACTCCAATTTGGAGGAAATGAAGATGCAGTTAAAAGGGGCAACATGCAGCAAACTATTAAAAACCTTTAGGTTTAGATGCTTAAACCATCATCAACACCTGAATACCCGATCCTTAATACTGAAAGACTAACAAGTAACAACACAGTTCAATTCCCAGCTCATAGGCAAGGGGATGTGAAACATTTAATATATTCAAATACAAAAACCATTAGTTACACCCACAAAACTAGCAAATTTGAAAGAATTGGAACCATGCATATCAAACTCAAGCCCCAAAATATTTGAGTACCTTGGATCCAGTTTGTAGAAATCCGGTCTCCAATTTTCCGCATACTGATGCATGTCCTTGTGACTGTGATTTAACAACATCACAGATTGGCATTAAATGAGGCTTTGAGTAATCCCTCGCAAGAGGTTGGAGAGAATCAATTGCTTCCAATAGAGATGGGCCATGATACCTACAATTCCATCTTCAGCACAAACAATTGCAATGTGGATGTGTGTGTGTGTGCACTGTGCACCATAATTTGCATTTACATGTTATTGGCTTACTGCATCTAAACCAGTCATAAGTAACAACAGGAACAGCAAACCCGATAAAATCCCATATACCCATGCCTAGAAAAGGTTCGCAGACCTTACCCTAGAATAGGTTGAGAATCTGTTTCTGAAAGTCCCCCAGTTCAATCATAAAAGAAGTCGCATAGCACAGAGTATGGGTAAAGTTGAAAAATCAAGGGTATATGTGAATTCATAACTTTCATAAGCTTCATTCATGCTAAAGTAGAAAGTTCATCAATGATTTAAGAATGGGCAAACATTCCTCAAGTTCTTTGTCTACACAGTTCGGCTGCTACTACTTAGGTCTTAGTGTCTTACTACCCAATGCTCAATTTCCTTCCCCATTTCCCAAAATAAGTGGCTATTGTATACAAAATTCTTGTTTTTTATTACTAGGAACCAACAGTCACTAGTCACTACCAAAGAAATTGAGGATTGGAAATGTTGGTGAGGGAAGAGAAACTGACCAGGATGAAAAGTTCACATCAGAAGGACCGGCAACCAAATTTTGGTTTTCCATGGCACTTGCAGGAATCCAGACTACAGAAGAGTCTTTAAATTTACAGGCACGGAGAAAGGTTCCAAGCTGCTTTTTAATTGCATCAAACCGGTCTTTGGAGTATTGTACAGAATCCATTTTGTTAACTGCAACTATAATTTGATCTACACCAAAGCTCTTAATAAGTTGTGCATGCTCCTTAGTCTGTCCTCCAGAAGCATCAATGCCAGTTTCAAATGCACCAATTGAAGCATCTATCACAAGTATTGCTGCATCTGCTTGCGTTGCACCAGATATCATGTTTGGAACAAAGTCTCTATGGCCCGGTGAGTCAAGCAGAACAACACGATAATTTTTAGTCCGGAAAAAAGCAACTGCCACATTCATAGTTATTCCTCTTTCTCTTTCCTCAGCACTCTCATCTAAAGCCCAAGCATAAGCAAAGGACCCTTTACCCTGTTAGTATGAAGAAAAGATCAGCTAACAATGTTCATAACCACAAAGGACAAAATAGGGAATGCAGGACGGTTACTGTTTGTTTAGCCTCCTTTTCATATTTTTGCATTTCTTTCTGGGATATATGTCCTAACAGGTGTAGCAACCTTCCCGATAGCGTTGACTTTCCAGAATCAACATGACCAACCTATAAATTCATTTATAAGATTTAATATTTGATCAGACCTAAATACAGGCAAATAAATCCAAATAAAATTTAAAAGATGCTAGTGCCCTACAACGGCAAGATTTAGCTGGCTTAGTTTATCTTCCATGTCATCATATTTGCCTTTCTCAGCCAAATATCTTGAACTCGATGTAGCAGTTCCTCCATTAGTATCCTTATTCTGAGACTTTGAAGAAATTGACAATCTTTTTATACTTCCTGTGATATCTTGTTTGCCACTATTCTCATTACAACTACTCTTTGCAATTCCGTTCTGCCCAAATTTTGCAATAGGTACTATAGTGCTTTCCCCGTTCAGTTTTGCATTAGCACCAGTCATCATTCCACCCTTATCTGATGAGAATACCAGTGAACAAGAAAGATGTCAATCTCTGATCAACTTTAAGAAGTAAAATCTTCTACTCTTTAAGCATTAAACATGTATTTGCTCAAAAAAGTTTGCACTAAATTGTTTTTTGAAAATATAGATGTCTTTTAGGGGATGATTCAAAGTGAACAATCATAAGCTAAGGGGCTGTTTGTTTCAGCCTCTTAATGGTTCAGCACTTAATGGTTCAGACTATTTGTTTCAGCCTCTTAATGGTTCAGATGTCTGAATGGTTAAGAGATTTGCCTCTGAATGGTTAAGTATTATACAGAGTCTGAATGGTTAAGACCTCTTATCTGAATTGATCAGACATTTGCCTCTGAATAATTAAGCAATATACTAGCTCTTAATGGTTCAGACCTCTTATTGGTTCAGCACTTAATGGTTCAGACCTCTTACTGGTTCAGCACTTACCCATTCAGAAATTGCCAAACAGCCCCTAAGTTGGGGTTGGGAATGGAAAAACACCAAATTTTCCTAAATTTTCAAAGGATTTGGGTGTGGGGACGTCTCCAATACCCAAATCAGGAAATGTTAGGGATGTGAAGTGGCACTTATTTGAGGAATCTGTGCATGTTATGAGCCACACATTCTCTTCCTAAAAGAGTATAAAGATTATTTTGGGAAGGGCAAAAAAAGAAAGTGTAAAGTGTAAACTTCATTGCGGGATGCAGGAAGTATCAAAGTTTAAAATACAAAGAAAATTTAACAACTCAAGAATTCACTGTTTTTGTTTTTTTAGGGAGATGGAGAGCACAAAGAAAAGAACAAAATGTAGAAACATGTTCCAGAGTGCACCTTTGAAACCCACTTTGGAATTACTGATTAAACTAGGCCTCATATCATCTGGCGATGGAGTATCAAATTTGAAAGGCTCTGCATCAACATGGGTGGAATTAGAAAATGATAGACCTGTATACATATTCCTCAGCAGGTGAAAGCAATGCATCAATATGGTGAAACAAAAAGGGGATATAATTGAACCCTACACACCAGAATTATTCAGCAGAAACACACAAACACACATACACACACATAATTTGTCTCTATTTTTATAGTACTCCGTACAATCTTGTACAGACCTATATCAAACTTGTAATGGTTTTGAGAGCTAAAAGCTTTTAGTAAATCATGCAACTGTCCACGTACGCTTCCATTCTCGTGGAAGTTAAAACAGCCTTCTGACTTAAGAATATCACTCTTTCCATCAAAGATTAGAGCCTTTTTTGGATACCGTTGTGGCAATGATGCAAATAGAGAATTGGCCAATATGGATGCTCCAGAGTCTTTGCAAGTGCCACCAACTGCATGAAAATGATCTATTCTATAAAGAAGCTAGAGAGAGAGTGTGTGTGGTGAAATCCTATTTAACTGAAAGAAATAATGATGCTCTGTATTTGAATATAAAGATGCACACCATTCAGAAAGTTTTAAACAAATACATATCAAGTTGAAAGGCATGCATCAGGATGGGAAAAAATAAATTAAAGGAAAATACATTCACCTAAATCTGCATACAAGTCTTTAAACATCATGGTTCACTAAAGCTTAAAGCTTTAAAGAAGTTTATTGCCAAACCAAACCAACCAAATACATCCCACTCAAGAGTATGGTATATAGGTAAGATGCACTTGTGTTACTTCTACCCCTCAGAGGCTTTAGGGTTATTAATCTCATAGTACTTGCAAGCATGACCCACATGTTGATTAGTTGAAAGAATACATTCTCCCTCCGTCCCACATTATTTTATGCGAAAATACTATGTACAAAATGACATCGCAAAAAAGAGCTACGTAGTATATTGGCAAAGTTTAGCACATCAACTAAGACACCAAGTGCTCAACATAACGGCATAAAGTACATGCACGTCTCAAGTCTCAACACATAGAGAGTAAGAGAAAAAGAAGTTTTGATGATTGCTAACCTTCAGTATTCCTGACACGAGAACCCTTAATCAAAGGATTTCTTAGGACTCCACATATGTCACATGCACTCAGACTGTCATCATTATCAAATGTGCAAATGGGGCAACGCCAGACCCCAATAACAGTGCTTTCAGATTTTCCCTTTGCTTCTAATACTACTGAAGCAAAAAGTTAACAAGTCTGTTACTATAAGTTCAACAAAATAAATACATTGATGGGTAATGAGGTCTAAGCAATTAAAGCAGTTCAAGTACATAGCAAGTAAGAAATAAATTCAACATATATGTGTGATATGTCATACTCCCTCCGTCCCAAAATGTTTTACACTTCACACGAAACAAAGTAAAGTTTCAAGTTTTTTTAAATTTAGTTTATTTAAAGATTGGTTTAAAAATTATAAATAAAACTTATATATTTAAAAATTACGTCAAAAGTTCTACAAAACAAGAGGTGACAAGAATATTTTATTGTATCACATAATCAATCAAAACACACAAATAAACAAAACTTTCAATGACTTCTGAATAATGAAGAGTGTAATTCTTTGAGTATTACATAAAAAGAACTTGCTAACTTCAATTTTCCTTCAACAAAGAAACGAATTAATTCCAGATCTGCTAGTAATTTCAGAAAGAAAAGGTTAATGAGAATAGGAACTCACCATTTTCTTGTGTACAATCATATTCATCATCATAGTCGTCATGGTAATAATCTTCATAGTCATCATAACCATCATCATAATCAAGTCCAAAATTTACCTTACGGGGCATGTTGATGCAGTCTGCATAATGAAAAAAACATCAAGTTACATACGGGGCATGTTGATGCCGTTTGCATGATGAAAAAACATCAAGTTAAATACAGTTATTATCCAAATGCTACAAATCCGCCAAGAAATTAAATCCTTGAGCCAACTTGGATCGAGGCAGGCACTGACTTGGAAAATGAAAATACCATGGGCATTTTGTACAAAGAGTTGAATGCATAAGAATGAAGAAAACCTTAATATGACACCAACTTTAAAAAAGTAGCATGTGGATGGACCAAGTACAATGTGTTGCTTTCAATTCCAGGGAACTCTTCTGTAAATCCTTTGTTGATAAATGCTCAACCCCTCAACCAACAACAAACGCATTTCTGCACAAATCATATAAAATTTCAAATCTTACTATTTTGCTACCAATGTACATTTTTACTCACATACGAAGTAACTGACAAGGTAAACAAGAGCAGATGCTTGTTTACTTAAATCTAGCATGCAAAAAGCACTTCCCCATCATATTTGAATTTTACTTTAGGACCAATTTCCCCTCCAAATATAATAGGTACACTTTCATTGTGGAGCATTATGCAGAAACAATTTGCTATATAAATTAGAAATAAACCAAAGTAGGATGCATGTGCACCAAAGTTATCCCTTATCTGGCTTTTTCTGTCTTTTCAATAAGACATTATTCTCTTATAAAATGCACCATCATAGGTAAATGAAATATTATATAAAGTTCATTAAATGCAAATGAAAAGTAGATTATGTAATTTCTTAGACCGAAACATAAATACGGAGTAAGAAGTTAAATGGATTTACTGCTATTTTGACGTTCTTACTTCTTAATCAGATTTGAATTAGTACAATTGATGGAGTCCGTGAGAATTTATTTTTCAAACAATAGAATAAACCATTTTCCAGAACCTCCAAAAGCTCTACGAATGATTCATCATAGCTTTCGGCAATGGATTAATCATGTAACTGATTAATATGATTCATCTTCATTATATGCTTAATTTAGTTAAACTAAAAAACATAAAGTTATGCTTGATGATTTCTACATGGTGTACATTACTAAAAAAAAGCTGTATATTTGTGAAATATGAATATTTTCTGGAACAGGTGGAGTATATTTTAATGTTCTAAAACAGATGGAGTATATTTTAAGTCAACAACAAATCCATTATAAATTTATAATGCCAACCTCGTTCCTGCGATTCTAAAGGCACCTAGATACTAAAGGCGCGAAAACAACTCTTGCTCTTGCATATATATAAACTAAGCTTGGCCACTTTTCTCACACCAGCTAATCAGCAACTCTGCAAAAAAAATAAAATAAAAAATAAAACTCTCCTTTTCCTAATTAATAAAAAAATATGAATTGTGTAATTGGAAATACTCAAAATTAAAATACTGACCTATATTTAACATTTTAAAACTACATAAACTAACTTTAAAAACATTGATATAAATAAAGCTCAAACCTTGGAAGAAACTACTAAACAGAGCAAATACTCATGAAAAGTGAAAATAAGATCCATTGAAAACATAGAGGTGACAGAAGATGAGTTCAGTACAGTGTTTGAGGTTTACAATCTTGATCACATACCTAAAAATTCAATTATGACAAGAATTATACACTAATTGTGTTTCAGGGCTGGATACAATGGGAAAAATACAAGATTCTTCCTCGAACATATTGGATAGGGTTGGAATTTGAGGTACCGGAGATGGAGGGTAGGGAAAAAAATACCTGATGGAAATTGGAGCGGCAAATTGACGGATTTGTCGAAGGAGGCCAGAACAGAATGGGAGGGAGATTCTCAAATTGAGCCAGAATAAATCTGCCGGAAGTCCAAATTGAATTCTTCAGTTCTTTCAATTTCTTGTTGTTCCTAATCATTCCTTTTTTTCATTTCTTGGAAAATTTTTTCTACTTCACTTTTTTTTAATTCACTTTCCATCATAATTATTTCGTCCTAAAATTATTTTTCCAATTATTAGTCACACAGTCAAACTTAAATCACTTTCTTTATCTATTTTTGATATTTATTTGATTAAATAATATAGTCTTGTCACCTCTTATTTTGTAGAACTTTTGATGTAGTTTTAAATATATAAATTTTATTTTTTTAATTTTACACCTATAATTAAATAAATTGAATTGAAAATAAATTATGTCTAACCTCGTAAATACAAACGAGAAAATAGTTTTCAGACGGAGATAGTATAATTTTACTTCGTGCAAATTCAAACGAATATTAATTTGAGACAGAAGGAGTATTAAATTGTGAGGATGGAAAGTTAATTACAATTATTTTTTATTTAATTTATCAAGTTTTTTGATAGCTCTCCCGTATTAAATTGTTTTTTTGTTCAAGACAAATTGTTTGTTTTGTTTTGGAATGTTTGACAGAAATTGCTTTTCATTATTTGAGAATTAAGGAAAAATTAAAGATATAATTCCTATACTTAAAAATTAAAAATTTTATAAAACAGGAGGTGACATTACAATGTCATTTTACCAAATAAGTAATGAACACAAATAAAGAAAGTAATGGAATTTGATCATACAAAATAGTAAAGTGATAATTTGATTTGAGAGGAAAGAAGTATTACAAAATTAAAATAAAATTTGCATACCCCCGCGTTTAGGTATGAAGTTGTGTGTCATGCTAGACACATGCTAATCTTATTGGTGTCACTTAAGATTCAGAAAATTACTTCTAGATACCTTCAACTTTCAGGTAATAAATCACTAGTTCGATATTATTTCAAAAATACTTCGAGTTACCTTCTATTTTCTAGCAAGAATCCTTTAGTCTCATATTATTTAAAATATACTATGAGATCCTTAGAATTAGTGATAACTGATAATGTACTCTTTGGATACATTTGTCTATTTGACTATTGTGATTAAATTTTTTGATAATTTGACAAATACTCCCTCCGTCCCACTATATTTGTCCACTTTCATTTTTGCACATAATCTAATACACTTCTTTAATCCATTTTATCATGTAATTTGTATATTAAAAATTTATAGAAATTATATATTAATAATCTATATGTTAAGACAAATCAAACAAGATCACACATGACTATATTTAGGCTTACACATTGAGAGAATTTGATGAGTCAAAGTGCTTAGATGAACAGTTTCAAAAGTTAAAAGTGGACGAATATAGCAGGACGGAGGGAGAACTAAATTTTACCTTCATAATCATTATTTTATTAAATTTAAATAAAATCCTTCAAATTCTGAAAGTAAAAGAACTTTCAATCTTAGGGGGGTGTATTGAATTGGGAGTTTGTAGGAATTTTTTTAGATTTTTAAAATCTGAGTGTATTCAATATGGATTTTTAAAAGTCTTTAAAAATCTTGAGGTATTCAATAGAGATTTTACAAAGTCTTTAAAAATATTGAAGTATTCAACTTGGATTCTCAAGAGTCTTTAAAAATTTTAAGGTATTCAAGAATCTATGAATTTTAGTACTCTATGGATTTTGTTGGATTTTCTCTCAAAAAATGCTTCACATTTTACTCCTAGAAATGTCTTCTCACAACCCTAGATTTCTATGGATTTCTTCCCGAGCTATATCCTTAAACCAAAAAGGACAAAAGGTTGCTGTTCGTCGACTGGGTCAAGTTCGTCGGCTGGGTCAACTGGGTTGCCATTCGTCTCTGCAATTTCTCTGCTTGCCACCAGAAGAAAAAATGGACAAAAATTGAACTCTCGTCATAGCGGAGATCGGAGGTAGGGCTCAAAGATGAACGGGTCAGGTGAGGCGGCGGCATCGGATTGAGGTTTTTTGAGTTCGGGGTTGTTTCTGCCGCCGCATCGAATTGAGGTTTTTCCGCCTTGTGAGGCTTGTTCTGATCTGCAATGGTTGTTTCGACGGAGTTTGCACTAATGTAAAGCTTCCAATGGTTGTAGCGGCTGATTTAGATCTGCACTTCTTTGTTCTTAGGCTTTTCTTCTTTTGCTCAATCATCAATGAATGTTTTTTGACTGAAATTTCTTTCATTAGTGCTTTTCTCTTGGCGTGGAGCAATAGGAGCAACATTGATGTTCCAAAATCTACATACTTTTCAAACTCTACATGGATTGTACAAATTTTTCTAACTCTACATGGATTCTACAAAAAATCAACCAAACTCTACATGGATTCTACAAATTTTTCAAATCCACTTACTCTTTGAAATCTAAAAAAATCATATAAAATCTTAATTGAATACACCCCCCTTAATGCATAAATGGATGAAACGTACCCTCAAAGTATAATACTCCCTCCGTTCTAAAATTGAATTCTCAATTTGACTTTTGTAGTCAAACTTTTTAAACTTTGATCGCATATTACGAAAAAATATATTAAATTTTCAAATAAACTTTTTTGTCAATAAATTTATTTTGAAATATATTATTTTTGTAATATATATTTATATAAAAAAATATTAATGGTCAAAGTGTTGCATTGAAGATCATAAAAAGTCAAATGAAAAATTAATTTTAAGACGAGAGGAGTATCATAAGTTTTAAAGACCCTGAGGTATATTGGAGTAATTTTCTGCTTAAAATTACATGTCATCATTTTAGTCATTCGAAATTATACGGAATACTCTCTTTGATTCAACAAGAGTAGAGACGCCCACAAAAAAGTTCCTATTTTCATTTTTGGCAAATTTTGTGTAGCCCAAGATCGTTCTCTTTCTTTTGCATCACTTCTAATTATATAATTTCACTTTTTGAAACTTTGTGTCAAACTCAATTAATATGTTTATTTGGGACGGAGGAAGTATTAAAAGCACTTCTTCCATCCGGTATTAAACTTCTCATTCTGATTTTTGTTCATTTTTAAGAAAGATTGACTATGGTTAGAATTGTTCAAACTTCCTTCATTATCACTGCTAACTCACCACTACTGCCAATCAATATTACCACCACTGCCACCGCCCACCATCACCCCCACCCCCAACCCCAACTGCCAGCCCCCCCCACTACCAACCCTAACACCACCGCCTACTATACCATCGCCCCAGCCCCACCATTTCTACTAATTCCATGATATTTGCCCCCACCATCGTTGCCAGTCTCACTAACACTGCTAACCCGTCGTTNTCGTTGTCAAACGCCACCCACCAATATATAGTGTGTGTTTCTCTATGCTTATAAGCTGATCAAAACTACTTATAAGTCAGAAAAAATAAGTAGGTATTACTTATTTATTTTTAAGTAAATTTTTTTGTTTCTCTATATTGATTAGATTATTTATAAAACTATCCCTAACAGTTTAGAATATTTTCAAAATGATTTTTCTATCATTTGAGTCATTTTACTTCCACGAAAGAATATTTGACTTATAAGCAGCTTATAAATAAGTCAAAAACTGCTTATCAACCATAACACTAGCACAGAAACGCCCTCATAATATGTATAAATCAGGAAGAAAGAGAAGCAGACTAGGAGGAGAAAGAATAAGAACATAGGTGCGTTGATCTATAAGTAAGAAGAGAAAGATGAGAGAGAAGAAGACTTATACACAGATCTCGAAGAAAGGGAGGAGAGGGATGAAGAAGGAAAAGAAGATAAATCTACGAGAAAGTTAGGAAGAAGATAAATCTATGAGAAAGAAAGGAAGAGGAAGATAGATCTATAAGACAAAAGAAAGAAGAAAAACGAAGCGAATGGTGGGTGATTGAGGCACACATTTGCGAGAAAAGAATAGAGGAAGGAGAAAAAAAGGGTAAATAAGTGAGGGGCATTTGAGATAGTTCGTCAGCTAAAAAGTGAAATGGAAAGATTAATTCAGAACAGAAAAAAAAAAAGAAAATGGAAAGATTATTTCCGGACGGAGAAAGTAAAAAAAGATCGGATTGAACAAAAATGAATGGCACACAACGTGTATTGAATTACTTGAATTTTAAGTAGAAGAACAAACCTATAAATACCACGTAGTAGGAAATATAGGACTTTTACGATATTTTGTCTCGTACTCTGTAAAAGTTATAATTCATTTTAACAAAATTTGTTTTATGTAAAAGTTGGAACGTATTTTTTTTTAACTAATACTCCGTACATAGTAGTTTGTAACTTTGCGTTTTCACATAGGACCAACCTTGGCATTCAAGGACAAACTACTGCATATAGTACCGCCATGTATCACGCTCTCTCAAATAGTCTAACAAAATACTATAGTACCAAATAAAAGTAACGAGCTCATAAAATGAACTCTTCTTTCAGTTGTTTGAGGTTTAAAGGTAAAAAAAACTGTAGATTGAAAAAAAAATAGTTTTTGATATCCAACTTATTGATCCCAAAACGTTGCTCTAAAAACCTACTCATTTAACACTTCCAATAGTTGAGTAATCATTACACTGAAAAAGATTTTCCCCCACAAAAACTGCCCAAAGGCTATATAGAACAAGTATTTTCTTATAATCTTATAGTAAAAAATTATTCATTTACTACTAGGCCTACAAAAACAACTTTGTTCTTCAAAATAACAATTGCATGTCACTTGTGAACTATTATCTATTTCTTCAATATTTCTTTTACTTACAAGTATTGAACTATTGATCGTCTTCAACCATACCGCCACAATTCACCTGCAAAATGAAAAAAAAAAAAGATTGACACTTGTTAAACTTGGAAGGCAAGACATGTTCTCTTCCACTAGAAAAATGTAGTCCGGCCTAAACAGTTTTGGATATGATCTATAATCTTGGGTCGCTTTTGACCTGGTTTGATCAGGCCGGGCCTTAGGGTGTGCAAGATGTGCAAGTGCATATGACCCTCAATTTTATAGGGCCCAATATTTTAATAGGGTCGTCATTCTAACAATTTGACATTTCTAAAATTAGCTAATACATAAATATATATTAGAATAGTCAAAGCTTTACATTATTGATCATGAAAATAATATTTAGCACCAATTTAAAACAAAACTACTCCACTCAAGACTAGTTGTGCATGTGATTTGAATCTTTCTAGTCCGGTCTCATCTCAATGTTTCTAATTTTTGCCTAATTTTCTTGGGATCCAACTAGGTTGTTGTTGTTTCTTGTTTGAAGTTTTAACAATATATTACCTAAAGTAAGGTTATAACAGGAAATTTCTCGTGGTGCTTTAACCTTTATGAAAGGTGAGGAGAGGACCATTTTGAGGAATGTCCCAAAGGTTATGGTCACCTCGGAAAATTTCACATTCATTAAATATTACTCCCTCCGTGGCATAAAAAGATTCCACACTTCCTTTTTCGTTTGTTCAAAAGAAGTTTCTCTTTCCTTTTGAAGGAGTTGTGTGGTTTGCACAATTTTCCTCTTTGCACAAAACTCAAACACACACTTTGACCGTTTCTAATCAAATGTGGAACCTTATTTCGGGACGGAGGAACAACTTCCATGATATAAGAACCGACTTGTAGAAGGCTGTACCTCACTGAGAAGAGCAACTGCATCCGGAGTTCAGATAACAAGCATGTGGGCAGCTCTTGATCAAAATCTCGTTAATTTACAGACATCATCCATTAAGAGGTGGCAAATTCTACCAACTGAAAATCCAGAAAAGCATACTCATCAACTGAAGACCATATCGGTACTCTTCATTCTGTCAGTTCCATAAAGAGACATCCTATCATCGAAAGCATCGATATATCCAAATGAGTTTGTCCCGGGAGGGGACTCGAGAGCTGCTTCTAGGACCCGGTGATGAATTCCATGGGAATCAATAGAGTGGCCACCTTTGTGATCATGTCCAGCTAAACATACCTTGACACAATTATATCTGTATATCACGTCGAGGACTTCATTGTAGTTCCACAGTAATGCTTCGTTCGATGATGCATGGGGGTCTAATGGTAGGTGAGAGCAAAGTATTACCTTTTGCTTGTACTTTGTGGCCTCCTGAAGGACATCATCAAGCCATTTTAGTTGTTCATTCCCAACTGCTCCATTGAACTTCAGAAATCTTCTCTCCAATCCCACAAGCCCATCTGGACTATTCTTATCAGAATTTGGATTTTTCTCCCCAAGAAATTTCAAGGCCTTCAAAGTATTTGGATGACCTTCGGGCCAACCAATTGCGCTTATATCATAACAATCAAGAATCACAAATCTGAATTCTGGAATTGGAGAAAAATCATAATAGGCACAGCCATCATGGCCAGGAATTCTTAACAGGGGAAGCAATTCATCCCGAGGAAGATTGTAAAGGCAATGATTCCCAATCATGTGGTAGACGGGGCCCTCAAACCTGTCAAACTCATCAACTAATTTCTTAACAGAACTCAGAGACTGCTCTTTCGGGCAAAACCCATCAACAATGTCCCCAAAATTCAGCACAAATTTGTGCTTTTGCTGGTTCCATTTCTGAACAGCCCTCTGCAACACAAGAAAGCTATGTCGATAATACCTTGGAACGCCAAGGAACGACCGACCATCAGGAATATCAGCGTATTGCACATCCGATATAACTCCGAATGAAAGGAGGGGGTGCTTCCTGTGTGCACTCAGAATACCATTCACAGATCCCATAGCCAACCAGTAAAAGATTTCTGAATAGACAATGGGAACAAATCATAAGTAAAGTACTCCCTCCGTCCCTGAGTGTTTGTCTACTTTCATTTTGCACTTCTTTAATCCATTTTATCTTGTAATTTGTATATTAAAAAATTATAAAAATTATATATTAATAATCTATATGTTAAGACGAATCAAACAAGATCACACATGACTATTTTTAGGCTTACACATTGAGAGAATTTGATAAGTCAAAGTGCTTAGATGAACAGTTTCAAAAGTCAAAAGTGGACAAACACTCAGGGACGGACCAAGTATGTTCATTATAACAGATTTGTAAATAGACAACTTCCCTTCTTTTCTTTAGCTTCTTAATTTTTAAGTATTTATGTTGTGATTCTTCTTTTCAAGCACTCTAAAAGAAGGTTGTAATTCTGACTACATGGGAGTTTCCTTTCAGAAAAAATACAACATACCCAGTATAATCCCACAAAAGTGGGGTCTGGGGTGTGTGCAAGCAGACCTTAACTTGGACAGTAGAGGGATTGTTAGCAAGACACCTTGGCTTAAAACCAAAGAACAGAACAACAAACAAAAGCAGCACAAATAGAGTAAGAGCACATACAAAAAACAGACGTACAGACACTAGAAACACAAACACAAAGCACACAACCAACAATTACAGACTAAGGCATATAAGCGAACCAGTTGGACCTACAAACCAAAGTTGAAGATCAACCCAACCGCCCAAATACTTTCATAAAAAATAAATATATAAAGAAAAGAATTAAGAACTGAAAGGTTCAGTTGGGAGAAGGGTAACTACATAGCATTTCCAACTTTCCCTTTTCTCTCTTTGTGGCTTCATAGTTCTCCAAGTCGTACACAAATAGTTTGTGGTAGTTCATGGTCTAGTTTTCAAACTTGTTCGCAAATCAAGTCTCAATATATTTCACACTATTTCGGAAGTTGTTCTGAAATAAACTCTCGAATAGCTATTAATATAATAATCAAACAAATAGCTTCTCAATGAATCCCAAAGAATCTCTAAGGCAAATACTAAAGTAAGATCTCATACTCAAGCAAATGTGTTGATATCTTTGAACTTAGGGCTGGGACAGGCATCACCATCTGTTTCTTGGGGTCATAGTGGAACAATTCACTAAACAAATAGGGATCTTACTTACCTAGGGACTCATCCCACTCTTACTTGTATAGTTGTATAGGATAAAATCTCAAGAACATGTCACTTAGTCTTTCTCTTAGCACATTAATTGATTTAAGGTCAGACAAGTTTAAATCATCACAAGAATCTAAAGTCTCAAGTAATAGTATGATGAACATGAATTTGGCTCAATAAAGCTTAAAAAAAACTACTTAACACCATACTCAATGTGAATCAACTCATAGAAAATTAAAATCGACGGGTCCGACGAAAATTATTAAGAAAAACATAAACAAGGCATCCCAGCGTAAACCAATAATGTCAACCGAAGTAACATGTGCAGGTGGTAATGAAATCATGGGTGAGAAGAAAACAAATGTTCAAGCCTAATTGAAACCACAACAATGGCTTCCGATGAGCACTTCTTTTAAACACTATCTCTAATCACATGCGTATGAGAGTTAGAAACCTGTAAGAGGCTCAAACAAAACTAGATGTTTCACGGCTAAACATTGGCGGCCATTAGCAACTACAGTTTACTCAGCAAAATCGCCTAGAAATCAATAATCTAGAAGTAAAACAATGATTTCTATACAACTACTGCATGAACCCCAAAGTCCTCTGCAAAGCAATAAACAAACACTTGAACCCAATTAAGAAGATCGACCCATACAAGTAGCTATTACTTCCATACGCCGACCAAAACGCGCGCAATCATCAGATTTGAAACCAAAATTACGCACAATCTCAACCGCGGCAATCAGAATTTCACGGCTCGGACAAAAACAAAGCAATAAAACGGAGAATCACGAAAGAAAAAGGAATTTTGAGCTCACCTGAAGGAGATGCCTAGAAGATTCACCGGCGATCCTCGAGTCAGAAGAAATCGCCGTGGGAACTGGGAAGGGAGGGAAAGGGGAAACTAATAACAGAGCGAAACCAGGAGAGGGCCGGGAGGGGGGATGAATTGCGATTACAATAATTGGCTATTACTCCGTATTGTGATACTGATAGACTCCTACTAATTGCGGAGTATTTTTTTTTAGTACTAATTCTGAACAATAATCAAATCCTAATTGAATTAAGCCCTCCCTAAAAGAATTTGCCCCATAGGAATACGGTCTTCCATATTCATTTTTGTGTTGAAAACTAAAAAAATGATGTTTATAAATATGTTTAAAAAGATGTTAAAAAGTAGAATATTTATGTAATTATTGTATTGTATGTTATATGTTGGCACATAATCTAAGTTAATATGAACTTCTTCTCCTGAGTCATGACCCCCTCTTATTGCAAAATGTACATCATCTAAATATATAATTTTTGTATTTCATAACACGTTATTGGCACGATCGAATCAAAAATCACATTTTTTCTGTGTCTGCTTCTCTCCATGCAAAACATTGATCCACTTCCTCTGCTCGAGTAGTTTTCTGACTCATCAGCCATGTCGCTCGACAATTGTTTCTCTTTACTTCCACATTAGTGCATGTCTCTCTGAAGCATCAAATTTGTTTTACTTTCTCTCATCTCCTACATGGTTCAATCAGCTACAATGTCAAATCTTTCAAAACTTTGATTTCACGAACTCGATATCGCATGAAAAAAATTACTCGCGCGGGCTTTTGATGTCAAAATTCACATCTCCGCAAATAATTTGAGAGATACAACGTATGATAGAAATAATGTTTCAATTGAAGATAGAGTAAAGACTATAATATCTCTCTGACGTCACCTCTATAAAGACCTAAGCAAGTAATATCTCCCTTTGACAATTCTTATAAATTATGGAAAAAGCATTTAATAGCGTTTTATCCACCAGAAGTTGGTCTTATGGTCAAAAGCTCGCTATGAATGGTTCGACTTGGGACTACAAGATTACAAATTTGTCTTTGACTATGCTTTTACACTTTTTAACATTACCTTCATCCTAAAGTTATTTAGAGAAATACTGACAAAATACTAATTTGTACTCCGTATTTTTTATTTAAGTACTAAATTATAAATAAAATAATTTTAAAATAGATGAGGCTTCACATATACAATTATTTTAATATCATTAGATTCACTACGAAGTATGTGATACTATTACAAGATATATCAATATATAAATACAAATAGTGACACTCAAAATATTACATTGAAGATCGTGAAAAAACTAAATGAAAAAAACACAATCTACAGATAAAAAATCAAAAATATCAGGCACTGCTGCTGTGGGTTGTTGATCTGCTTGGCCATTTTGCTATGACAGAATTGGGAGAAAGGGCTGGCACATTCTTAATATTGTTACTACTATTATCAGTACTACTTTTTGATGAACACAACAATGGAGCATCAACCAGTGGGCTCCCCATTACCGATGAAACTTTCTTCTCCTCTTTCCCCAAAGCATCCAAACTCTGTATCTCCACCAGGCTCTCCAACACCTCCCCCATCGTTGGCCTCATGTCCTTCCCGCCCTGCAGGCACTGGAACGCCACCTCCGCCACCGCGCGTACCGTCCCCCTCACCCTCTCGTCCGACTCGAACCCGAGGGTCTTGTCGACGAGCTCGTGCAGCGCGTTGCACTGTATCTTCGCGATCGCCATGTTCGAGAGGTTGATCTCGTGGCGGTGCCGCGTGATGTCGACGGCCGGGAGGCCGGAGATGAGCTCGACGAGCACGACTCCGAAGCTGTACACGTCGCTCTTGCTCGTGAGCTGGTAGCACTCGTGGTACTCCGGGTCGAGGTACCCTGGGGTGCCCTGGGGGGCGGTGGAGACGTGGGTGGCGTGGGTCGGGAAGAGGCGGGAGAGGCCGAAATCCGCCACCTTGACGCGGAACCCGTCGTCGAGGAGGATGTTGTTGGTCTTGACGTCGCGGTGGATGACCTCCGAGGCGTGGAGGTACGCCAAGGCGCTCGCCGTCTCGACGGCGATGTTGAGGCGCGTGGCCCACGGGAGGCGGCCGGGGTCGGCCGCCTCGCCGTGGAGGTGGTCGGCGATGGTGCCGTTGGGGATGTACTCGTAGACGAGGATGAGCTCCCGAGAATGGCGGGAGGTGCAGCCGTAGAGGCGGACGAGATTTTTGTGGGAGAGCCTGTGGAGGATTTCAATTTCGTTCATGAATTGCTCCACCCTCTTGCAGTTGTTCTCGTACAAGCGTTTCACCGCAACTACTCGTCCGTCTCTCAGTTTACCTGTACAAACGACGTTTCACGTCAGCCAAAACAACGTAAAATTGAATAATTCCTTAGAATATTCAGATGCAAAAGCGAATCTAGGAGTATTTGGTGTAATTTTGTAATAATTTTATTACCTTTGTAGACACTCCCAAAGCCACCATCTCCAAGTTCATGTTTGGGGTGGAAATTCTCAGTGGCTGCTTCAAGCTCACTGTAATCGAAGCGTTGGACTCCGTGGTAGTCTCCCGCCTTCTCAAGATCAGAGGGATCCGAACCAATGCTTCTCGACATGAAATAGGATGATGAGACGTAAGTCTTATCGTTCTTCTTCTTCTTCTTGTTCAAGAACCACCACGTGCCGATGGCTATGGCTCCAAATGCACCGCCTACGCCAATGCCTGTAAGTTTAGACCAATGCCATGAAAAAACAGTTCTAACAAAGAATTTATTAGTAATATGGAGTGAGAATCAAAAAAACATCAAATTGTGGTGGAGAATTTCATATACTCCTTTAGTTCTTCCCAAACTAGTTGTCCTTTCCTTTTTAATAAAAAAAATTTTTGTTGAAAAAATGAGTTTAAAACCCCATTTGTCCCAAAGACAAAGGGATCCTAATTTGATCCGGCATAGCATTTAAGAAAAATAAAATTGTGTTGTTATAAGTGATACAATAGAAGTAAAGAATATGAGCCACAAAAGGTTTTCAAAAAATAGAAAGAACTTTTGTTGGGGACGTCCTTAGTGCACAATAAAATTGGGACGGAAGGAATACATTTCTTAAACTCACCACAACAAAAGGAAAAGCGTAATTTGCAGTAAATTACCTATGGCGATCTTCGATCCAGACGACAATCCTGCCATAACAATTGTTGTTCAAATCAAACTCCATTAGATTCTTATCTCAATTCATGTAGCTCTAAAGCAAAACATAAATGTATGGAATGACACTTTATAAGAATGAAATCCAATTAAGAAACTTAATCAGAAGTACACATTTTTTTCGGTTTTAGGCTATGTTGTGCGCCTTTAATGTAGGAAGTATCAACAAAACTTTGATATTTAGTCAAACTTTAGCTCAATCAAAAGATAGTAACTTTCTCAATGTAGTAATATATGTTTTTATTTCTCAATGTAGTATCATTATTAATTGTTTAGGTAAATGTCACCGTCACTGGACATTGTTCAAACTAAAAGTCCACCATCACTGCCAAAGACATTGTGATCAAGCGACATCAAAGTGACTATCTTAAATGGAAAGTCAAAAGGCTCAAACCTCAGTAGGGACAATAATTCTAGATATTTTAATAGGATGAGAATCTATCAAGATTTATTATATTGCAATAGAGTTATTAGAGTTCAAAAAAAAGAGAGTACAAATTTAGAAAATTTCACTAAAATTTCTGACCCAAACATTAAAATAGGCTTCTCTCTTCCTCACCTTCAATGTCCTCCGTCCCCCATAGATCTTCCCAATAGCCCTTTTTCTTTGTCCACAATAGATCTTCTCATTTCATTTTTTAACAATTAAAATACCACAACTACCCCCACTTACTTTATTTATTACACCTCACTCACCTCATTTAATACACTCCACTCATTTTCATTAAGGGTATTATGGTAAACTTTCACCTTTTTTCAACGAGGGAGTATTAAAATCGAACTAAACCCGTCAAACCTAAAATAGGATACAAGTTCGTTCGGTCCAATGCCTCAAAAAAGCGGAGTAAAACTCACCCGGATTATTTCAAGAACAGACCTCAAAGCCGGTTCAAAACCGGTCTGAGTTTAAAATCATTGCTCACCTTTTGATTCATTCCCAGAAACAGCATAGGAAACGGCGTCGCTTTCGAGGGGCGCATCGGACTGAGGGCAGGTTCCGTTGCTCGTTTGGTTGAAGCACATACAGACGGACCGGTTCTTGTAAAACCCGCAACTGCCGCCGCTCTTCTCGCAACCGCCGCAAAACGACGACGCATTCCACTGCAGGACGAACCCTTTCTTCAACACCTCAGTATAGTTCAATTCAAACAGCTTGTCGAGCCCCTCCGCCTCGACCGGCACGTGGACCGGCGGTTCGCACCCCTGGACCGGGAAGTCCTTGTGCTCCATCAGATCGAACCCGAAGATCGCGAACGCGTGGTGGGTCCCGTTCGCGGCGCACCGCAACTGGTACGTCTCCATCCCGTACCGCTGCGTGCAGTTGTAGAAGAACACCAGGTCCGCCGTGTTCGGGCCGTAGCTGAACGGAGTCCGCTCCGTCGTGAAGTTCCGCCGCGGAATCGGGCACTCATCGCCGGCGGCGGCGGCGTCCGGCCGGGATAATAGAACGGAATTGTCGGAGTAGGAGACGTTGAGGAGGAGATAGTAATCGGAGCGGATCTTGAGGAAGGGTTTTTTCCGGGAACAGGCGACGGCGTAGTGAGGCAATCCGCAGTAGGATTTCTGCTTTTGGGGAATCCAGAAGGGGTAGGAGAGCTTGACGCCATTTCCGCAGTCTTGGGGAGCGCAAGGTGTGGAGTTTAAGTACAAGCATTGGGCGAAAAAATGGCGCGTGGAAGAAGAGGTGAGGAAAAAGATGGTGAAGAATATTGAGCTCTGGATCATTAATGGAGATTAGATAGAGAGAAAAGAGAGAGATAATGACTAATTAAGAATGAGAATAAGAGGATGTGCGAATGTGGAATTAGGTAAATTTTTAGGAAAATGCTAGGGGTACACCAAAAGTGTACCCCAAACATCCCCACCCCCTCCATCACCACACAAAAAAGGCAAGAAAATTTCAAAAAAAGAAAAAAAATAAAAAGAAAATGAAATGAATGGTGTAGAGGCAAGTGGTGTACATTTGGGTACACCAAAGGTGTACCCCTAGCATATCCCAAATTTTTAAGCTACTCTGATCCTCACTTTCTTTTAAATTTGTACACGAAATCCAAGTTATAGAATTTTTTGATAGCATAATACTCCGTACTATTTATGGATTTAGAAGTGAATTTTAATTTCAAATTTTTCAATTCCACAATTTAAATTCCAGAGCACAAGAAAAGATTTTAAAATCCTTAAATCGGAATGAATTTCTATATGTATTCTTTAATTAAACCAAACAAGTTATCTCAAATTGAAAATTTTAATTCCAATTCAATTTGAATTATGTATACCAAACGCAACTTAAAATTAAAGATTATCGTTATATAACATTTTCAAAACACTAAAATTATTTCCTAACGAACACTTTATTTGTTAGGTCATATTACAATGGATGATACTGCGATTGGTGTTTTGCTCAGAATAATATGTTAGATTATTGTTATGTATGATTTTCTCTAATGGTGTAACATTTTGCTAAGACTAAGAATCTATGATATAACTATTGTCAATTCTCTTTGTTCTGTAATTATCTTTTTACTTTCTTCTTTTTGAATTGTCTTAAATATTTACTTGCACTTTCCTGTAAAGGACATGCTTGTGCGACCCATATTTTTTCCTTTCATCTACACAAATTATAGCCAAACACATTTTATTTTAATAACCTAATCACTTGACTTAGTATTCAAACCGGCCAATGCACACATTGGAAGAAAGGATGCTCTATGTGTGGCGTGCTTTACATTTTTGTCCAAGGAGAGAATGATTCCTATTGTTTGACTTTTGTCATCTTTTGGTCTAAATTTTGGAAAAAGTTAGTGGCAAGACTTCAAGTTTTCAATCAATTGCAGAGTCTCTTTACTGGTTTCAGAAACTCTCTTGTCTTCAAAGAGTTAACAAAAAGGAAACAAATAGAAAAAACAGAAATTGAATTAGTAAAGTCTTGTTGTCGACTATCGAGTGAAGCACACGTATATAACCATCTAATAAAAATTTCATAAGTTTTTTTAAATACCAAACTTAACTAATAAAAATAATTCATAAAAAGGTTAAAAAGTGTTGTTGGTGAAAGAGAAGGTGACCAAAAGTGACCGAGGCAGAAATGATGGCGCAAGTGAAGTGGGGGATTTACCGGGAAGATTAGGGAGGATAAGAACTGTTAATTTTACGAATGAGATACTGTACGTCTTCGGATCATCCCATCATATGAGATTCCAATGTCATAAAAAAACTCCTCTGTTTTGAAGGATGAAAAATGTTTCTATGCCTTCTCTTCCTTTCATGTGTATCTTAATCAAAGAAACCTCTTATAATATTCAAAGAAGAATTGCTTTTCAGGGCACAAAAACACGGTCTACCCTTTGTTTTTCATCTTTAAATTATAGTTCATCCCAAAATAAATATTCTTTTAAGTTTGTAATTTATTTCCCTTCTTTTAAATATAAACAAAAACAAACACTATTACAATTTCTAAATATAAGAAATTGCCTATATCAGTATGATAAATATAAAGTTTCTCTTAGTATTAGATGAAAACTATATTCCTTACCGCGAATCTACAATTAAAATCTAAATTATTTTTTCAAATTGACTGTTTAATCGGATGTGAGGAAGCTTACGAATAGGAGAATAGTGAAATTTGCACTAAATAGGACTAAAACATAAAGGCTTTCCTAATGTAGGACTTAAACTTTTTTATTCTCTAAATAGGACTTAATAATGACCTTGTGGGGGAATAATGTCCAGTAATGATGGACATTTACTTGAATAATGACTACTTGATAATGACCAAAAGTCCTACATTGAGAAATAAAAACATATGGTCCCTATATTGAGAAAGTCATTATATTTAAATCCTATTTAGGTAAATTACTCTAGGAGAATATCCTAATTGAAATCTTCTAACGGTGCCGGGTCTCCGCCGTAGCGTAACGACTAATTTTTGTGATTTTAGACCTTTTATTTCGGGCTGATGTCAATAACTCAAGAGTGCCACGGAGTCAACATTTATCCAAGAGACTTGGTCCAAGTTGTTTTTTACTATTTACTCCGTATTTTATTAGAATTTTAATTTTCTTTGTCTTATTCAGGGTATAGTTCCCAATGTTCAATTTTTTTGAACACTCCAATGTCAATTTTTAATAAACATTGAAAACCAAATGTTAAAAACTAGAAAAGTAGTTTTTGTTTGTTCAGCAAATTAACTCGAATAAGACTAAAATATGAAACTTATTAGAGTAAAAAATAAACTCTGTTAAAATCTTATGTGTAAAAGCAATTCTTCATGAGTCTAATCCATAAAATAGACATTAAAACTAGGCCTTATTCTTTTGGGTTTCAAATTCAGAATTTAATGTTTGAAAAACTGAAAAGAGTTGGAAAATATTAGAAAAATTAAAGTGTTAAAAAGTCATTCAATTAAATGATCATCCAAATAAATATGTAAAAAAAAATTTAATTTTGGACAAAAAAAATTCATCTTTGTCCGTGTTTGACGTGACATGTTATAAATTTGGATATATAATGTTATTGTATATTGATCATATATAAATACATTTTTAAGTTGTTGGGAAAACAAGAATGAGTTTGAAAAAGTTGTAATTAAATTTTTTCCACCCAAAAAAACATGGCTTATATGTACTATATGTAGAGTCCCCCTTTGGCATTAGAATTTAGAAAAGTTTATCTAACAGTAGTCTTTAATGTTAACATTTTCAAAATTAATTTACACTATTAAAATTTTATCCAAATCCTAACATTAATCAAAAACTCAGTTTTAAAATAGCCCCAAACAACCAGAGTATTTTAGAAAAATATAAATTTTAAAGCTAGATATCAAGATTATTGTAATATGGAGTATATTAAATATACAATAAATCCTCAATATACTTTATCAATAAAACTTGTCAAGGTTTGTAAACTCCTAGTCTCTGACCAAGAAAAATCAAACAAAAAACATAATTTGGATATATAGAGGATGGTTTATAAAAATTAGTATTTAGTTCCTAAATACTCCCTCTGTCCACCATAGATCTTCCCAGACACTATTCACAGGGTCAAACTTTACTCACTTTGTTTGCTCATTTTTACTAGTCATTTTGTAAAATAATATAGTCTTGTTACCCCTAATTTTGTAGAACTTTTCATGTAGTTTATTACTATATAAATTTTATTTTAAAATTTTACTCCTATAATCAATTAAATTGAATTGAAAATAAAGTCGGTCAAGCCTCGTAACGCGTAACGAGAAGAACTTATGTGGACAGAGGGAGTACTTCATAAAAAACTTTAACTTTAAAAAATTTAAATAAATATTTAAATAACTATAACATGAAATGTTTCTCTTCCATATATTCTTAATCATCATTTGACAAAACAACATAATCACTTTATTTTTATTTTATAAAACTTTAGATATATTACATAATTTTTAAATATATAAATTTTATGGTAGAAATAAAGTGATAAAACTATATAACAAACCGAATTGTAATTGATCGAAACGAGTTAGAAAAAAATCAAATCGAAATACGGAGCAGCATGTAAACTGGGCCTATATAACAAATTTTATGGGCTGTTATATGTTTTATGACTTTATACTTTGGGCTTAGAATAATACGGAGCAGCATGTAAACTGGGCCTAAAGAGAGATAATTCCTTGCAGTTATATCTTTCTGTAAATTTATAATATGGGCTTATAATTTTACGGGGTATGTAGACTGGAGCTAGAGTTATATTTTATTTTCATTTCTCCAAGCACGAGGCCCATTGAGAAGGGTCGCAAGAAAAGTAAGAACTTAAAAAGAGGTTTTGCGGCATTCTTACATTGTATGCTAGTTTAAATTCCCATTTTAAAATTATTTAAAACTATTTTATTTTTTTATCAAATTTCAAGAAAAATAACTTGTGAGCATTATATTTCTGAACCAAGCATTTATCTTTTTCATTTACTCCGACTATTTACATTGATCAAATTATGTACTCCGGATATTCTTTGTTTAACATAGTCATGTTCGATATAGTGGTCAATTTTAGACTCGTAATTACACCAACATTTAAATAGATTAATTTCGAAATAACTTTACTCTGACATTTTCAAAGAATGAAAAAAGTCTATAAAAATGTTAATCAAATCTTTAAGCAATTTGTCAAAGTCACCTAAATATCTAAAATGAATTGGTCAAAACATAATAATAGTATGCATTACTCCTCTCATCCTAAATTAAACTTCACGCTTTCTCACAAAGTTTTAAAAGATTGAAATTTGTGATTGAAATTTGTTCAGGGGAGTAAAAATTTTTGTTTTTTTTATATTGAAAAAAAACAAATGTGTGTGTGTGTGTACCTGGGTCTCCATATCCACAAAAATAAGGAGAAATCCCATCAGGGCAAAGGCAAGTTGGTTTTGGTGAGCTTGTGTTCATCCAGCACTCCCCATCCGAAGCCTCGCAAGCCAAACAATACTCAATGCTACCATTGTACCACATTGTGATCCCTTGGTTCAACACATCCATCGCATTTGTGCTCGTATCGTTCTTCTCCAGCTCGTCAAACAACCCGAGTTTCGAAACCGGAACACGCATCACATACGCCTCACCGTCATCGTCGCACGTGACACCGTCAGAATCCGAACTCGGGAACGAGACCGTTACATTTCTAACGTCACCGCGGTGGTCCCCACAGTGGCATTCGAACACGAGTTTCGAATACTCCGGATTCGTGTAGTCGGGCGGAAAACGGCAATTCCCAACGTGCAGGGTCGCGTTTACCACGTCGGGGAAGAACGAAAATGCGCCGCCGCCGCCGTCGGCGGCCGTCAGCCCCGTTCCGATTGGCGGACACTGGTGGTTCAAGAGATCGGTGCGGGCGATTTTCATCGTGTACGGGCTAAGTTTGTCGATCTCGATCACGCGAAAGGACAACGAGCCGATGGCGATGGTCGTCTCGTTCCGGATGTCGTTGCATCTGAGGTGGAACGACGGGTGCCCGCATTCTTCGGGCCTGTCCTTGCCCCAGAAGGGGTACCCGACATCCCGGATGCCACCGCAGTTGTAGCGGGTACTGTTACACCTGAGAAACCGGTCAAATTCTCGGCCGCCACCGCCGTGAACCGGCGGAGTGGAAATGATGAAGCACCAGAAGCATACGAAGGAATAATGGGAGAGAAGAGAGAGGAAGCTAACGACAAGCATTTGTTTGTAGGGAGTATTTAAAAGGAAGGAGGAGATGAGGGAGTTAGAATGCAATGAAAGACAAAAAATGTGCAATTTAAGTTTAAGAAATTATTGATTTGAGATGAAGATGCTATGTGATAGTCCACGGCTGACTAGTTTGACCGTTGTACCAATATATGAGACTCCCTCCAATATATTTTTTTCAATGGACTTGTTCAAATTTATTTTTTTACCATTAATACTTGAGTAATTTACCTAAATAGGACTAAAACATAATGACTTTCTCAATATAGGACCATATGTTTTTATTTTCTCAATATAGGACTTTTGGTCATTATCAAGTAGTCATTATTCAAGTAAATGTCCATCATTACTGGACATTATTCCTCCCACAAAGTCATTATTAAGTCCTATTTAGGGAATAAAAAAGTTTAAGTCCTACATTAAGAAAGTCATTATGTTTTAGTCCTGTTTAGTGCAAATTTCACTTAATACTTTCGTCCACAATAGATGCCACCATCGAATTAAACGTACAAAATTCTATCACTTTTTGAAAATATTTAAATCACAAATTGGTATTCAATCAAAAAATATAAATAACAATATAACATCATTCAAAAGTGCATAAGAAAATTCTAATAAGCAAGAGGTGACAAGACTATTTTTATTTTATCAAATAATCAATTAAAAAACAAACAAAAAAATTTATCAAAAGGCCGCAATAGAAAAATAGACTCCTATTTTAAGACGAAGGGAGTATTAGTCCTTTTCCATCATCTCCGATGGAGTCAAAATTTCACCATTTTTGGCTTTGGGGTGTGATGGAATAAATCAAAATGGATCTCTAAATTATCTGCACTTCTTTAATTAATGAAGTAGCAGTTAGTCAAACACTGCAACTTTCGATGTTGAGCCGGGGGTCTCTTTGGAAACATCCTCTCTACTTTCGAGTAGGGGCAAGGTCTGCGTACACACACCCTCCCCAGACCATACTCTTATGGGATTTAACTGGGTTGTTGTTGTTGTAAGTAGTATATTAAACAACAACAACGTAGTTGAATGCGACGAGAGTAGTGTAGTGTGTGTATGCAGATTTTACCCCTACAATTAGCAAAAATAGAGACAAAATAAAAGTGGCGGGATAACATTGTTCTACGAGTAATTTTTACTTTCCTCGAGAATTAAAAGTGGAGGGAAGGGAACGAGGGAGCAAATCATTTGGTGGATATTTATTTTTGGTTTAGTCACCAATTACAATTAACAACCACCTAAAGAGAGTAATAATAAATAATACATCCTCCTGTTTCATAAAAATGTTTTTATTTTGACTTTTAGTAAATTTAAGAGAGATATTTTTGTGTTAACTTTCCAAAAATAATCTTGATATGATAGGTAAAAATAAGATATGATGGTTAGATTATTCGTAAAAAAGATATAATGTGATCAGTAGACTAAGAATTGGTAGAGATAAAATGAGAGGGGAAAGAGTCTTTAGGAGAGGTATTCATGAACAAGTCAACGTAAGTAGTTTGAAGAGAAGAATCAACTATATTGACGTACCTATCTGCACATCTTTAAAAGTCTTTGTGGTATTTTACACCTACTAATACCTCTGTGCACAACACACGTCTTTGGGGATGACCAATTTGACAATTCAAATGACCGAGTAAAGCCCGATCCTATAACAATCTTACGCAGGACAATTGCTGGAGAAATTACTCGTCAGTCGTCAAGACATACACTCTAATCAGGACTTCATAAAACATACTTCCCGGAGGATCAAAACTAGCTTAGACTGAGCGTTATTGGATCACAACCACAAGTTTTAATTTTTGGTTGAGTTGGTTCATTAACATGGAATCAGAGCCTTGATGATCAAGAGATTACGAGTCCGAAACTCACTGCCACCAAGTTTAAAAAAAGTTAAGGTTTTATGTACAATGCTCGAAGAATTCACGCCTGCACGGTGAGGGGGCGTGTTAGAGTACCAAAAAATTTTTCTAGACCACAACCACAAGCTTAAGCCTTTTGTCGAGTTGGTTCATTGACATGCACTAAGGAAATTGTTAGATGCTTTTATTTTCTATGCATGGTCGTCGGTCTAACTTATGTGCTCCTGCAAATGCAATGTCTCTATGACTCTAACTATCTATCTATCCTTAGCTTTTCCAATTCCTCAAAACTTGCTTTGATAAATAGATAGATAGAAACATTGTATTTACACAATAACACATAAGATAATTTAATTATAAAATTTCTTTTATTTACATAAGATAATCTAATTTTAAATTGTCTTGTATTTATTTTATTTTTTTTGGAGGGGGGGGGGGGTGTTGGCCTCAATTCAAACTCCCACCTATTAGTGCCTTCTATCATATATATTCCTAAATCTCCACTCAAATGACTATATATTCCTAAATCTCCACTCAAATGACTATTGTTGGTGCATGCATGCAAACATATAAAATTTTGAAAATATTTTATATAATAAATCTAGAAAAATTATTTTTGTATTAATATCTTATACTTCGGGTTTCATTTTTATTTAATTTGAGTTCAAAGTTCACCAATTTTGACTTTAAAAAAATAAAAGTGGACAAATATTCAAAAACGAAAAGAGTAGCTGTTAGTGAATGTAGTTTCGACGCACATAAATAATGGCCGTGTTTGGAAAACAGCATTTGGGATAGCTTTTGGCATCTTTGACTGACTTTGGCTTTTTTGACCAAGCGAACCGCCAAAACCATTGTTTGGCTAATGGCTTTTTCACTTGGCATTTTGATCCGAAAAGCCAAAATCTGAAATGCCAAGGGGAGTAGCATTTGGACTTGGCGGTTAGAAAAAATAATTTTTTTAAAATCATTTTTGTTGAAAGATATTTTATAATATATGTAAAAAAATAAAAATAAAAGTTAAAAAAATTAAATACGAAAAAATAAGATGAAATTAAAAAAAATTTATATTTATAATTCATTAAAAAATTTATATTTATAAGTTATTATGAATTAAATGAAATTAAAATTTAATACTCCATATAGTAAAGATTTAATTTTTACATGTAAAAAAATGAAAAATAAATATCATGTGTGTGAGTGTGTGTCTATGTGTGTGTGTGTGTGTGTGTATATAAATTTTTTATTTAATTTTTTTAATTTAAAAAAAATATATTTATGATATGATATTTAAAAAAATTTGTAAAATAAAATATACCATAAATGGAGGGATGTCCTTTTATATAATTTTACTTACAAACAACTAACTATAAACAGCTAAAGTTGCCAAACACTTAAAATTTAACTGCTAACAGAAACAGCCGGTCAAAACAGCTAACTCAATAAGTCATTCAAACCAATGGCAGCTCTATATCAATGTTATTAAACCTGGACAAGACAGAGCGGTCACACTAGTCAAACCGCGACCAGGCCACGCAACTGTTCGGATCCAACCCCCAAAACCCCCACAAAAACCGGGACCTGGCCTCCACGCCGGTTCGATGTTCGGTTCGAGTTTAAAATCATTGCTCTCTATGTTTTAAACATATGAGTGGAGTAAGGCGGTGGGCATTCGACTCCCCTTGCCCAGCAAATAGACGGAAGCTTTGAGGTATTAAGGCCTAACGATGTCTAAAAAAAAATCTCAAACAAATGAAATTTATGGAGAATTCAGGGAGGGAGAGAAAATAAATAAGAGGAAATTAGATGATATGGTACCTCCTCCTTTATCCTGTGTTTGGCTTGAAGGATAGTTTCCATATAAACAGATACGGATGCGGATATTTTCCATATAAACGGATACGGATGCGGACGGTAGTCAAATTTTCGGTTATCCATATAACTATTGTTGGTACATGCATGCAAGCATATATGACTATGCATGCAAACATCTATATTTTATACTTCAGGTATCATTGTTATTTAATTTGAGTTCAAAGTTTATCGATTTTGAATTAAAAAAAATCAAAAGTGGACAAATACTCAAGAACGAAAGGAGTAGCAATTAGTGAATGTAGTTTCGACACGCATCATGAGTCATCTAAAAACG